CTTCTTTCCTCCTCTAGCAATAGTGATATGGCGACTTTGACCGGTCCTTGGTGTGGGCAAAAATTTTACTAAAACACGGTCAGTCACCCTTGCATATAATCAAGGGAAAACTACACCTAACCCACGTAATTATAGAGTATTTTACACTTAATTCACTCAACTTTTTTTTGTGACACTTTGCTCATATAACTTTGTTAGAAATTGCACTTAACCAATTTTCGGTCATCGTCGGGAATTTCTAAGGACAAAATTGACTTTTCAGATATTTATTAAGTTAATTGTAACTGAAAACATTGTACTTTACCCACCCACCTATACGTTTTTCTGCACTTTAACCACTCAACTTTTTTTTTTTTATTTACACTTTGCACTTAGAAATGGCCGGACGATGACCGGAGATTGCTTAAGTGCAATTTTTTAGAATGTTATACGGGCAAAGTGTCCCGAAAAAAAGTTGAGTGTGTAAGTACAAAAAATCCTATAGTTAGGTAGATTAACTGGTTAAGTGTACTTCTCCCTATAATTAATGTTGAGTTTAAGAGGGTGATTGTTTATCAATTCATCTAGAAATTAATTGGTTTTTTTTAACTATAGTTACTTTTGAGAAAAGTTAGTATAGTTAGTTGTTAGTGGATATATTAAAATAATATTTAAAATAAAATAATTAAAATTGATAGATGTAAAAGTAAGAGAAAAATGATTGGAAATGATGGTTAGTTAAAATTATGTGAGTGGATGAATAGTGAATTAAAGTTGATGTGATGTGTAAGAATGATTGGTTGGAATTATTTAATTATATTGGTAATAATGGAAATAGTGGAGTTGTGTTAAAGTTGAGTTAAATTTGAGTTTTGATTGGTTTTTTTTTAATTGGATTGATAAACAATCACACCCTAGTTTCAATTCTTTGTGATCTTATATATCAAAATTTCATGCTTTTGACTTGAATAGATTTTAATTTAGTTTCAATTCAAAAATAATTATGTTCGAATTATCTATAAATATATTGATTATATATGGTCATTTTACATATATTAATTGCATTTTAATATTATTTCCTATTATAACAATTAATTGTATGGTATGTAAAGACTCTCGACTTGCTGGAATCGGCTTGCTCACGAGCTTCTTCGTCGGTTGAACGCCTTTAGACCAGCAAAAACTCTCACACCGGAGGTTTTTCGATAAAGAGTCTTTGATATTTAGATGAGTATGCGTAGAAGATGATATGTAGAAAATGTAGAGTATATATGAATGTAATGAGCTAAAAGCGCACATCTCACTCCGATTTATAGGGGTGAGGTACCTGCTTTTAGAAGGCTGCCTGTTGTAAGTATTTTTACCGGAGTTAAATCGAAAGATTCGAACACCGGGTCGTGTCTCTCGAGGAAGGTTAGCCGGATTATTTTGCATGTTTATTCAACCACAAAAAGAGAAACAAAATTACTAAACATTCTAACTCAGATTTTTGGTTTGATTTTTAATTAACGACTACGAAGATAAAAATGCAAATTCAGAAAGCAGAGTAAAAATAATAAATCAACTAGAATAAGGTAGCTAGGGAATTGGGGATAATAATCTTGATTTGGTATGCAATTTTCGGGCAAGTGATTGTTCAGTTAAGTGATTTGAATAACCTGCTCGTTCAAGTACTCATCCTCAATAACTCTTCGTAACAAGAGAACAAACTTGAACGACAAATTAACAAGTCATTTAACACCTAGGCAATATAGTTACGAACAAGCCTAGCTTATACGAGCCTATTTCGATCGACTCCCCCCCTTTCGGTTCTAAGAGTCGATTAAATTAGAATAGAGGGTGATTAACCGACTAATCAATTAGAATACCCATCATCATTCAAGAATAAATCGAACTCAATTGAAAGTTGAAGTGTCACCCTTCAACAATCCTCAATATTCAAGTACGATAATTAGAAAACCCTTTTACAAGATCAACTTGCATAAGAAGAACAATCAACGAACACGACAATCACAATCGAAATCAAAACATTAATTCCCTATCCCTAGCATAAGGATTTAGCTGCTCATGATCGATTCAACACCAACAATCTCATCAAACAAAGCCATGACATTCATGTATAAAATGAAAAGAAATGCTTATGATTAATGACGAATCCAATGTCGAAAAACCATGAGCAATCCAAATCCAAAAGCCTAATCTTGAAGTTTTCACTATCCAAGATTGAAATCCCAATGAAAACTAAGAGAAAAATGAGTTCTAAGAGTGAAAAGTACGAATACAAGGTCTGAGAGTCCTGAAAAACATGCCCTAACTCGATCTAATAGCCTTTCTCTTTCAAAATCCATGAAAATCGCGATTTGTTAAAAATGGACTTTAGCGGCGCTAACCCCTTAGCGTGGCTAACCCTTATTTTGCTGGAAAGTGTCTGTCCTCGCTAGGGTGTCGCTAAGCTTCAAACGCCGCTAGTTTCTGCACCCTTAGCGCCGCTAACCCCTTAGCGGCGCTAAGGTCTGGGTAGCTTGCGCGACTTCACGTCTTGAGCTCGTTTGAGCTCGTCCGAACTCGAAACTGAGTTCCGTTTTTTCCTGCA